GTAGTACTATGTCAGCAATAATGAAATAAAAGTATAGGACCAGAGTGAGATCAGAAGCAGGAAAACCAGTTAGGTGGCCTTTGTGAAAGTTTAGACGAGAGATGAATAAAGGCAGAGTAAGAATGGTACTGGGGATTGAAAATCCTGATGGTTATGAAGACTTCTAAGGCAGAATTGGCAGAACTTGGTTACCATGAAATGTTTAGGTAGGTGTGACAGGCTGAGTAAATGGGAGAAGAATGACGGTTGATGGACCTGTTGACATGTTTAATATGCTTGTAGGATATCTAGATTAGTAAACAATTGAGAATACTGGACTAAATGGTTTTCTGGAAGTTTCTACTGCATTTATGGCTATTTTTACTTTTTGTACTTGGCAAACAAGCAAGTCTTCAACATTTACTTGTTATGTATTTTCCTATGTTTTATATAGTCAATTAAATGAAAAGCCCTTACCTGAAGGCTGGGAAATGAGATTTACAGTGGATGGAATTCCATATTTTGTGGACCACAATAGAAGAACAACCACTTATATAGATCCCCGCACTGGAAAATCTGCCTTGTAAGTTTTCTCATGTTTTAATTGACGGTAAAATTGATTCCTAAGACTTTGATATAAAGATCTCAATTATCAAAGAGTGCAATACTTATTATTTCTTGAGTTGATTTGCCCATAGGTCTCGGATCACTAAATGTTTTGTATTTTTATTAACTTCTTGATTATTTTCTCCTAGAGACCTTTCCTGTTTTGTTACCATCTTTTCAGACAACACTAAACGTGACTATTTAGAAATTATCAGTACAATACTGCTTACCAACTCATACCTACTTAATCTTTCTGTCACCCTTCAACTTAAAAGCTCCCATTACTTTGTTTTTCTTTTCCCTTGTTGAAAAGTACCTTTGAGTTTTGTTGATTTGTTTAATACGTTTTGCTTAGGTTGTCTTTTTTTTTTTTTAATTGTGGTGAAAGAAACATAACAAAGTCTACCATTTTAAGTGTACAGCTTAGAGGAAGCATATAGCTTAGTGGTAGAGTGTATGCGTAGCATGCACAAGGTTCTGGGTTCAATCCCTGTTATCTCCAAACACATACCTACATACATACTCCCCTCACACCGTCCCCAAAAAGACATCTCGTTATGTGAACAGGTAGGTGGCATTAAGAACCTTCACATTTTTTGCATCTCCACCATCCATCTGTAGTACTCTTTTTTATCATCCCATAATGAAACTCTATACACAATAAACAGTAACTCTCTAACCTCTCTTCTACCCCCAGCCCCTGATGACTACTACTCTTTTTTTCTGTCTCTATGAATTTGACTACTCATATAAGTGGAATCATACAGTATTTGTCCTTTGTGTGACTGACTGAATTTTACTTAGCATGGTGTCTCCAAAGTTCATCCATATGGTAGCTTGTGTCAGAATTTCATTCCTTTTTAAGGCTGAATAATAATCCTTTTGTGTATTACCACATTTTATTCATCTTGTTCATGGAAATTTGGGTTGTTTCCACCTTTTGGCTATTGGGAATGGAGCTGCTGTGGAATGAGTATAGAAATATCTGTTCAAGTCCTTTTAACTCTTTTGTCTATATACTCAAAAGTAGAATTGCTGAATCAAATTGTAATTCTGTGTTTTTTGAAGTTTTGCCATACTGTTTTCCACAGTAAGTACACTATTTTACATTCCCACTAGCAGTGCGATGGATTCCAGTTTTCCCACAACCATGCCAATAGTTGTTACTTTGTGTATGTGTTTATATAATGCCATCCTAATTAGTGTGAAGTGACATCTCATCGTGGTTTTTATTTGTACTTCTCTAATCATTCATGATGTTGAATATCTTTTCATGTGCTTATTCTATTTCTTTGAACAAATGTCTATTTCAGTCTTTTGCCCATTTTTGAATCAGGTTGTTTTTTGTTGCTGTTGAGTTTTAGAAGGTCTCTATATGTTCTGGATATTAATCACTTATCAGATAGTCATTTGCAAATATTTTCTCCCATTCTGTGCATTGCCTAAGAGTTTTATAGCTTTAACTCTTACATTTAGGCCTAGGATCCATTTTCAGTTAATTTTTATAAACGGTGTTAGATAAGGATTTGCCTTCATTGTCTCACAGGTGGATGTCCAGTTTTCTCAGTACCATTTGTTGAGTGGTCTTGGCACCCTTGTTGCAAATTATTTGACCATATATGCGAGGGTTGATTCCAGGGCTTTCTATTCCATTAGTCTGTATGTCTGTCTTTATTGTAGTACCACTGTTTTGACTGCTGTAGCTTTTACTTAATTTTGAGATCAGGAAACATGAGTCCTCTAACTTTGTTCTCCTTTTTTAAGATTGTTTTGGCTTTTCAGGGTCCCTTGAGATTTTGTATGAATTTTAGGATGGATTTTTCTGTTTCTGTGCAAGGAAAAAAAAAGTCATTGAGATTTTGATAGTGATTGCATTGAAGTTTTCTTTGGTTAGTGTTAACAATATTAAGTCTTCTAATCTATGGACATAGGTTGTCTTTGTATTTATTTGTCTTCTTTATTTTCTCTCAGTAACGTTTTGTAGTTTTCAGTGTGTAGATCTTTGACCCCATTGCTTAAATTGATTCCTGAGTCTCTTATTGTTTTTGATGCTGTTTGTAAATGGAATTTTTTTCATAGTATTTTGAAGTATAGTTGCTGGAATTTTGAAATTTCTTTTTCAGATTGTTGATAGTGTATAGAAATACAAGTGATTTTTGCATGTTTTGTAGATTACTTTTGTTGAATTTACAATTTTCTTCTTACAGGTTCTTTTTGGTCTGGAATCTTTAGGGTTTTCTATATATAAGGTCATCTTCAGAGATGATTTTTACTTCATCCTTTTCAATTTGGATGCCTTTTATTTCTTTTTCTTGACTAATTGCTCTGGTTAGAGCTCCCAATGCTGTGTTAAATAGAAGTGGTGAAAGCAGGCATCCTTGCTTTGTTCCTGGACTTAGAGGGAAAGCTTTCATTCTTTCACCATTGAATGTGATGTGAGCTGTAGGATTTTCCTATATAGCCTTTATTATGCTGAATTGGTTTCCTTTTAGTTCTACTTTGTTGAATGTTTTTTAATCATGAAATTTTGTCAGTTGCTTTTTTGCACTAGTTGAGATTATAGTGCGTTGTATTCTCCCCTTATTAATGTGTGGCATATTACATTGACTTTTCATATGTTGAATCATCCTTGCATTCCAAGAATAAATTCCTCTTGTCAAAAGGATTAAGATACTAATCCTTTTAATATACTGTTGAATTCATTTTGCCAGTATTTTTTTCTTTGAAGATTCTTGTATCCATGTTCACAAGAGATACTAGTCTGTCATGCTTTTTTTAAATTTTGTTAAGCATTTTGTAAACATACTGTTAAAAATGTCATTAAGTTATACTTGACATATAATGTTTTAGTTGTATAATGTAGTTTTGTTTTCTTGTAGAATCTTTGTCTGGCATTGATAATCAGGACACTGCTGGATTCTTATTACTTTTTAACTTTATATTTTCTGCATATTAAAAATGTTCATGTTTCAGAAAACTGGGAGTTTAGACTAGGTATTAATGAAATTAAACATGATTTAGGTATGGTAATAACTTATAAACAAATACTGTTGTATCATTCTAGTTACAATTAAGTTTGGGTACATATAACAGAAAACCCCAAAACAGTAGTGGCTTCTATAAGATGGAAGTATATTTCTCTCTATCATTTAAAAGTAGTCCACTGGCACTTAAATAGCACACTACTGAATAATCCATGACTCAAAGAAGTCACTAGAAATAAGGAAATATTTTGTATCTCATGATAAAAGTATGACATATCACAATTTGTGGGATATAACAGAAGTAGTCTTTGGAGGAAAATTTATTACTTTAAAGGACTAGATTATAAAGTAAAGTGTAAAATCATTGATCCCTGCTTCCACCATAAGAAGCTAGAAATAGAAAAGTTAATTAAACCCAAAATAAATTCAGGAAGGAAAATAAGAATAAAAGCAGAAATCATGAAGTGGAAATAAAAGAATAGAAAAATCAAAAATATAAAGAATAGAAAAATAGAAATAGAAGTTCAGTCTTTGCAAAAGATTAATAATATTGATAACCCCTAGTTAACCTGAGAGGAAGAAAAACACAAATTACTAACATGGAAGTGGAAGGATAGCCTATACCTATCCTATGGACATTAAGAAAATGATGGGTGTATTTTAAACAACTTTTTGGCAATCAATTTTATATTTTAGATCAAATGGACAAATTCCTTGAAAGACACAAGTCACAAAAATGGACACAAGAAGAAATAGTAAATCTAAATAATTCTATACCTGGTAAAGAAATTGAATTTATATGATTTCCTATGTAGAAGATTCTGGCCTAGATGACTATACTGGTAAATTTTATCAAATTATAAGTAATATCAATCCTATTCAAATTTTTTCATAAAATATAGGAAATTAGAACTACTTTCCAACTTATTTTATGAGGCTCCTATAACCCTGATACCAAAATTAGACAAAAAACAGTCTAAGAAAATTATTGACTAATATTTTTATGAACACAGGGGTAAAAATCTTCAACAAAATAGTGGCAAATTGAGTCCAGCAATATATAAAAGGGATAACTACAGTATCATCATGTGGAGTTTATCCCTAGAATGCAAGATTGATTTAATGTACAAAAATCAGTGTAATTCACCCACATTAACAGATTAAAGAAGAAAAATCATAATCATTTCAGAAAAGCATTTGACAAAATACAGTACCAGTTTATGATAAACTCTCGGCTGCCCTGGAGTTTTCTTATCTGAAAAATAGTACTTATAAAAGACCAACATCACACTTAATGATGAAATACCACTTAAGATCAAGAATAAGACAAATATATCTACTGTCACTGCTTCCATTCAACATTGTATTAGTAGTCCTGTGAGGTGGGCAAGAAGTAGATATGCAGATTGGAAGGAAAGAAGTAAAAACTGTCTTACTTTTCAAAGATCATAGGTAACATAATTGTATAAAAAATCATTTGGAATCTAGAAAAAAAAACTACTAGAACTAATAAATGAATTAAACAGTGTTGTCGGATATAAAATCAATATACAAAATCAATTGTATTTCTGCATTGAAATTTAGAAAATGAAATTAGCAGTCCGGGGAAAAAGCAAATAATCCAGTGGTGTGAAGACCAGGGTATGCTTGGAAGCCCAATGATGTCATCAGTGGTCTAGGCTTCTTTCTTTCTGTTCTACCATCCCAAACCATCATCCCTATTAAGGTCACCTAATAGTTTCTGATAGCTGCTGAACCTTAACCTATCACAGTCATGTTCCAGGGTGGGATATGGAGGAAGAACAAATTGGAAGGAGAAAAAGTCTTCTAGCTATCTCAGCTCTTTCTTTAAAAAAGCCTTCCTCAAAGTCCTATCCAACCATTCCACTTACAGCTTATTAGCCGTAGTTAAGTCACACACCCACCCTGGGAAATGTAGTCTTTATCCTAGATAGCAGCCCTGCCCAATTTTCAAGATTCTCATTTAAGGACAGTAGGCGAGAATGGATTTGGGGATAGACACCATTCTCAGACAGAACCTCCATTAGCTAGCCCTGTTATGTTTGATTTTTTTTTGTAAGAGAAAAATGTCAATAGTGGCTTCAAAAAGATAAAAATTTATTTCTGTCTCTTAAAAACAGTCTTGGGAAATACTTTTTTATAAAGTGATGTTACGAATGTGATGTAGTAGGGTATTTTTGTAGCTGACTGGTAAATAGTTAAGGAGTGTGGTATTGTGTTTTCTTTCAATATTTCATCTTACATGCAGCTGTGTATGTTAACCTTCTTCCTCAGAGACAATGGACCCCAGATAGCCTATGTACGGGACTTCAAGGCAAAGGTTCAGTATTTCCGGTTCTGGTGTCAGGTTAGTATTGGGACTGCATTTCTGTACTCCTTTTCTTTTATTATGTTGCTTACACAGTGAGTAATTGTGAAAATAACCCACAGACAAACTGATAAAATGAAAGCATTAGAATATCCTTCTTCTATTTTTAGGTCAAAGAAATAGATTTTGTCATTTAGATTATTTGTGGCTTCAGTTGTCCAAAAGAATAAATTTGAAGCCATTTGAATAAGAAAACATTGCTACTCATTTTAGTACTCATTACTTTCAGATGGCAGAAGTCTTCAGTGCATTAAAACATTTCTGATTTATAAATTGTAACCAACCCTTTCATATCTACCATTTGATATAAATGACTTTGATAGGTCCATAGATATATGTATCACACTGGTAAATACATATGTACATATATATGGTTATATTCAGAGTATTTTTAGAAGATATGATCAACTTTCTGACATAGATTTACTGAATTAATGATTTCTTTATGGGTTCTAAACAAAATTAATGCACTAAAGTGTTATGATGAATATTTTTAAACTTCAAACTCTTACAATTAACTGGGCCCATGAAAGCAAAAAGAATTTGAATTAGGTTTTTGAAAATAAAATTAAGCAGATTTATTTGACTTATTAATCTCTGTGCATACAAGATCTTATTTCCTTCTGTTTCTTACATATCAAATGATCTATATAATTAGCATGAATACTCACACATGCATAGTTAAACATTATTGAATATAAATTCATATCCATAGTTTACTTGTTTCTGTAAGCAAAATAAGTAAAACTTTACCCTTTGGGTCTTTTGATAGGCCATTTTAATGGTGAGAGTTGACTTAAGACATTCTTATATTTCAGCAACTGGCCATGCCACAGCATATAAAGATTACCGTGACAAGAAAAACATTGTTTGAGGATTCTTTTCAGCAGGTACTGTTTGATCCACTCAATGGTTCAATGGTTTGCCCCCTGGATTCCAGCCCAGAACCATCTTTTGGTGCTGGTAGTTTAAACAGTTTAGAACTTTTTGAGTTAAAGTCCTTGAATTTTTAAGTCTAGTCTCATTGCCAGCTACTTGAGTGGCTTAGTACTTAAAATTTAGAAAAATACAGATAGTTTTGTATGTGAATTTTGTGTATGTATATGTTCTGTGCTTTTGAACTGTCAGAGTAACCTAGTGATTACTGAATTTCGGGTTTCCATTTCTAAGCTAAGTGTTTGCCTTGAAACAGATACTCAGTGAAGGGTATAGCTTAAGTAGTAGAGCACATGTTTAGCATGCATGAGTTCCTGGGTTCAATCCCCAGTGTCACCTCTAAAAATAAACAGATAAATAAGTAAACCTAATCCCACCCCCAAATAAATAAAATTAAAAAAAAATACCTAAGTAAGAAAATAGGCTTTTGGTAGACAAGTCTGGAAATATCTATATGAACATTATTGGATACAGTTAGGAGAGGAGAGGGGAAGATTTTATATTTCTGTATTACCTGCATATTTACAGTAGGTATATACTGCTCTTACAATTTTAAAAAAACATGTAGCAAAAAAATGTAATTTGTCATTGATGACAGTATCTAAAAAACAATGTTTTTAGAGGGGTGGGTGTAGGTCAGTGGTAGAGCACATGCATAGCATGCATGAGGTCCTGGGTTCAATCCCTAGTACTGCCATTAAAAATAAATAAATAATTTAAAAAATGTTTTCAGAAGTAGTAGTCAGCAATGCATTCCAAACTGGGAGACATTATGCTAAGTGAAATAAGTCAGAGAAAGATAAATACTGTATGATACCATTTATATGTGGCATCTAAAAAATAAAACTAGTGAGTAAAACAAAAAAGAAGCAGACTCACAGATATAGAGAACAAACTAGTCGTTCCCAGTAGGAAAAGGGAAGTGGGGAGAGGCAATATAGCGGTAGAGGGGAGAAAAAGGCTTATTTTTGGATTATATGAAACGTGTGTGAAACTTTTGAAAATTGTTCACTATAGAATTTAAAGCACTATATAATCTTCAATTTAAAAAGTAGCCAACAAATTTTTAAATTGTCCTCATAACCTGAGTTAATTTAGTGCTTACCTTTATTTTACAACTTTGTTTACCAACCAACTGCAGCTAAGTATTAAATGATTTTTTTATATTAAAATGACCAGAAAAAAAAAAAGTCTTAAAGTGCAAACATCTAGTTTGTTTTATGGCCAGATGTGGATGTGATTCTTTTTTTATCAAGCCCTTAAAATAATTTTGGTAGCTACAGCTTCAAGAAGTGCCAAACTGAATGCAAAGGGAAAAGAGGTTGTCTGAGACAGGTGACAGTACGTACCTGTTTGCTTCCTTTCAGAAACAGTTAACGTTCTTTCCTAATGGAACCTCATTTATTAACATTGAAGGGAAAAGCCAGTTGGCATCCTGCTAAGTAGGAACAGATAGTTTTTTAGTAGAAAACTTTGACTAAGGCCATTCCCAATCATTACCTATTTCTAATTTTCATGTTCATAACCAGTATGCAGTCACTGAGTAGTCAGTCTTGGGTTGGCCAGCTTCTTGGAATATAACTTTCTGGTAGCAGTGCTGAAAAGATGCAAAATATGATTAAATGTTCCTTTATCTTTTGACTTCTAAAGTTTTTTGCAGAATGACAGGCTAGATGGTGCTGTTTAAAATAGTTGTTTAAAAGTTTCACCCTAGACTTGACATTCATCAAATAAATGTGGAATAAAGACAAAAGAAAAATTTGGTTGCTTTGGAAGAGTGATACATCTTATAGCAAAATTAGAATCAGATTTTCTTCATAGCTGTTAGATAAAGTTGTTTGGAATAGTGTTTTTGTTGACATAGCACAGTTGCTTATGGGGGCAGATGCAGGAGAAACATTTCATTTTTTTCCTTCCTATTAGGCATTTGTTAAAGGGTATTATTTAAACAGATTTTTTTTAATGGGAACAGCAAGTGAGATCAGGGACAGCTCTAGGGCTTGGGGAGCAGCCTTAGGGACAAAGAATAGTCAGAACGAACAAGCAAAAAACATAATTTTAGCCTGTAACATTTCTCATTTGCATTGCTATGTATCCAGCCTTTAGTGTTTTTAGAATATTTGTCATAAGTATGTCATAAAGCATTGAATTTTTTGTTAGATCTAGGATTTTCTTGTTTGAGTTGGTATGAATTCGTGAGAGATACATCTGTTTCATGGGACTGAAACAGCCCTAACCTAGCCCAGGTTACTTAATGAGCCTCTCTGGATATTTAAATGTGATTGTTCATTCTTATCCTTTCATAAAGTAGAGGCATTGTATGGACTTCTCTATGTCTCTCTCTTTTTCTTCCCCTAGGCTCTGTCATTTTTTCCCTAAGAGTAATTAATATTTATAATGTTCTATCAGTCCAATTATGGGCAAGTAATGAAATAGTTTTACAAAGGAAGAACCCAAATGACCTGTTCATTGTAGCTCAGTAATGAAACTATCCTTCAAATATGAAGCTAATCTTACTAACCACTGTAATAGAATGCAAAATTTTTCAGGTTTCCACTGAGTTTTCAGGTTAACTGTATTCTCTCTGCAGCATCTATTTTTCATCTCCAGGTTAGCCATTGGCTATTGTGTGTATCTTTTGGCTACAAAGCAAGACCTAAACCTACCCAAACCACCCCACCCGCATACACCCCTTGAAGCACCTAACCTCTGCCTATGGCTACAGTTACTTATCTCTAAGGAAGTAAGGGAAGCAACTTTACGTCAGTAGTAGAATCTTTTAAAAGAAAGTTACATATGTATAAAGTATATAGAAATGAATATATGTATAATTTGTAAAATATTAAGAAACTTTTAAGATATTTTCTTTATGTGTGACCATTCTGTGTCATGGCAAATTTAAGTTACTTACAATGAAGGAGATTTCAAACCTGGAAGTAAGTGGTAGAATGGTGTTTCTACTTTTACCAATTCTTTTCCTTTTTTTGTTTGTAGATAATGAGCTTCAGTGCCCAAGATCTGCGAAGACGTTTGTGGGTGATTTTTTCAGGAGAAGAAGGTTTAGATTATGGAGGTATAGCAAGGTAGTGATAATATGAATACTCAGAACTTAGTTCCTTTCTTCCAAAGGTATCATTACACTTTGCTTGCAAGTATTATTTTCTCAATTTTATATTTCAGGAAATGAAATGTAGCAAATTACTATACCTTTCCTTATTCGTGCTCAAACGATAACATTTCAAGAAACATTAGTTCAGCACTTTCTCTCTAAAGTACTGCTAGTTGATTTCACCCACATCACTCATTTAATCTTCAGGATAACCTGTGAGACAATTTTCAGATAATAAATAGGTTTAGCCACCCACCAAAGACATACGTAACTGAGTTGTAGAGCCTGGATGTGAGCTTTGCATCATCAAACCAAGAGCCAGTGTTCAGTTCACCACCTTGTATCTGTTCCATGGAGCATAGAACAACCGAAAGTGTTCAGGTCATTTTCCCCATCACAGATTCCTCATACAGATAATAGTCATTCAGTTCCCAGCAGAGATTTATATATATGTATTCTTTTTTTTTTTTTTGACAAAATAGGTTGTATAAAATAGGAGTTGAAATTTTAAATTATGCTTTCTTATCATTGGAGGTTCTAATCAAATCCTAGAAGGAAGACTCAAGTGAGAAATTTCTTTGCTTATTCCATAACAATATATCATACCAGGTTAAAAATTTGCACAGCAGTGGCAATACAGAAAGCCAAGGACTTTGGTCAGCCAAGACTGGATTTCGATCCTTCTTCTGCAGTCAGTAGTATGTCTTGGGGAAAATATATTCATCTGCAAAAAAGAGTAGTCTTATTTACATTTCTAGGATTTTCGTGAAGAGTAGAAGTACTGTTTATTAATATCTTAGTTGAGACCCTGAGTCTTCATGTGCTCACTAACTGGTGGCTGCATTTTAGTGATTTTTACTTAGGTTGTGTTTCACAGCTCACATTTCAAAATGTATGAAGTAATCACAAGTAAATAGTAAATGTTTATGGAAACATTTAATTGTATACAAGTTAAAGGTCTTTAATTCAGAAAGCAGGCAATCATTCATTCTTTTTTTTTAACTTTTTTTTATTGAGTTATAGTCACTTTATAATGTTGTGTCAAATTCCAATGTAAAGCACACAATCATTCATTCTTAATTAGAAAATTGACTAGCAGTATTAAAGTGTAAGCAACATTACCACCAGAGGCCATGAATTAACAGGAAAAGAAATCTCAGGCACAAGCTGATACCACATGTATTGCCCCAGATCTGCTCTCCCTACTCTGCTGCCAGACCCACTCATGTTACTCAGTTAGTAATTATAATCTTACACTAATGTTGGTTTGTATTTTCACAGCACTTAAAGTAGAGCTGTGAGAGTATTTTCCTGATGAATGAGTGGTTTCAATTAAATGTTTTATTGCCTCTGTGAAATTTTCTTACTTAATTTAAGATTTAGAGTGCACTAGTACTTAATGAGCATCACTGAGGGGCCTACTAATTGGTGAAATAATGCTTAACTTGTTTTAGCTACTCTGACTACATGAGTCAACAGTGAATTTTAAACTTACCTACATATAGTATTTCATTGATTCTAAGGCTCAAATTTTTGTATTTTAACATCTCTGAGATTGGGATGTATATCACAATTATAATTGGAAAAAAATTTTAGTAGTTCATCAAATAATTTTGTCTTTAAAGTTGATGATGTCTTAGATTCTTTGAAATATAATAAGCAGTGTGTAAATATCTGTAAAATAGATGTCAGTTTGAACAGAAGCAGTAAAAATCACCATGAGATTAGAGAACTATCACCATCTGGGGAGTATAGATTCCTGTGAACTTTGTAGGACTGCTCGATGATTTGTTACTTACAGGATTTTTCATCCTAAATTTTCTTTTGATTTCAGAGAATGGTTCTTTCTTTTGTCACATGAGGTGTTGAACCCAATGTATTGCCTGTTTGAATATGCAGGGAAGGATAACTACTGCCTGCAGATAAATCCTGCTTCTTACATCAATCCGGATCACCTGAAATATTTTCGTTTTATTGGCAGGTTTATTGCTATGGTAAGTGCAGGTGGAGAACTGAGTTTACTTTGCTAATTCAGCAATACTAAAGCACTGTTTCTTTAACTTTCTTACTTGAAATGTTCTCATCACTAAGCCATGTCCAAGATTGGGTTTGTTATACCTGCCCTTTTCCCAGAAATATGCTGTAATAGATCATATTACAGGGGAGCTTTTTTTTTCTTTTTCTTTTGAGTGACTCATCTAACTTCCTGAAATACAATGATTCTTAGAAAATTATCTTAAATGGTATTTTTTTTTCTTGCATAGGCTCTGTTCCATGGGAAATTCATAGACACAGGTTTTTCTTTGCCATTCTATAAGCGTATCTTGAACAAACCAGTTGGGCTCAAGGATTTAGAATCTATTGATCCAGAATTTTACAATTCTCTCATCTGGGTAAAGTAAGTTTGTTTCCTTTTAATTTATTAAAATATCATCTGTGCTTTCATTATGGTGTTGGTAACTTACCCAAACTGTAAGCATGTAATTGGTTTATTGAATTTAAATGGTCTACATTAAACCTTACTCAGTATGTTAAATTTTACAGAAATACATCTGAGATCTTAAGGAAAATATGACTTTAGAACATGATTTTCCAGTTTTCTTACTAATTCTGATGTTATAGTTTAATAATAATTATCTAAGAACATAGTCCTTTTTGACTACAATTGGATAAAAGTCAGGCTGACATTAGATTTTTTAAATCCTGAATAACACTAAATACCAAATGAAAACAGAGCACGTTGTGAAATATAAATAAAATCTTCGAAAAATAATAAGAGAAAAATTACCAAAACATTATTGTGGTGAGAAATTTGTGCTTAACCCATCCGTCTGTGGCAAATTAACTATATAAAAGAATTAGAAAATACATGATTTTCATGTTCTAATAAATAAAATTGAATTAATTTTATGTGTCAGAGAGAATAAACCTTTCAACATCAAAAAAAAAAAAAGAACATTGTCCTTTAGTTAAAAACTTTTACATGATTGAATTAGTGTGACTGTTCGTTTCATTTGTACAGAGAAAACAATATTGAGGAGTGTGGTTTGGAAATGTATTTTTCCGTCGATAAAGAAATTTTGGGTGAAATCAAGAGTCATGATTTGAAACCCAATGGCGGCAATATTCTTGTAACAGAAGAAAATAAAGAGGAATATATCAGGTAAGAGAATGCTCCTTTTGATATAGTTTAGCCTTTCTGTTAGACTATATAGCATGTTGATAATTGCCTAGTAATGCTAGTGGACAGTATTTCAAAAAATATTTGCCTTTTTACTAATTATTATGAGAACTTACTGTGTATTATTAAGGACACAGTTGACCACTTCCTACCTTATTAGTGCATTGAGAGAGGAACAAGGAAAGTGTTATGGGAGACATCCTTTCATTTAGTTATTATCATGGAGCAAGTATCTAATGATAGTTACTTTCAGCCCTGATGGTTGGGGAAGATTCAGTCATGTAGCAATAAGAGCAAAAGTTATGAGCAAGATAGGGAGGCTGGAAAGCACAAGTCACAGATAGAAAATAAGAGAAGAGTTGCCTTGGTGTGTGGTGCTGTCAGGCAACTAACTCAGAGTTTACAGCCCATTTTGCCATGTCCTGCTCTTCAGAAGCCACGGAAAATGAAGTCTTTAGAAGATACGGAGGCTGATAAGTGTGATAACCCTTAAGAAAATAGAAGTATAGCCAAGTGGTAGATACGGAAGCCAGGTTACAAGAAATTAAGGACTAAATTCGGTACATAGTCTAAATTTCTTTTTCACCAAGTTTGGCTGTAAAACCATGAGAGGTAGGACAGATTCTTGTGGAGGCAGCAGGGTTAGAGGGACTATCCTGCAGATAAATTCAAACTGAAAATCTTACAAAGAATTAGTCTCATGGGTACGAATGAGTTTTATACCCACTTTCTGAAATACTGAAATTTAACCGGAATTTTGAAGATTTATAAAGTGATAGAAAAGAATTTTGGTCATATGGAACTTTAAATTTCTCTCCAAAAGTGGGAGTTGCAAAGGTAGAAGTATTGCTAGATCACCTTTCTAAATACCAATTTTTTAAACATGTAACATCGTGTCATTAAAAAGAATCTCAAATTTATATGCAGGTATTTTCATTGTAAGATCTGGTAAAATTTACAAGTAAAGTGATTATGAATTTATTCTCTCATGTTTTGCATTAGTTAATACTTTTATTTTCAAGAGTTATTAGTTCTTTCGTATATTCTTAAGACCAGTTCTATCAGATCAGGTTGAGATTTCACATAGCTGCTGCTGCTTGAGTTCCAGTTTCTCAATCTCTTGCCTAGTTTTATATTTTTTAAATATTAATATATCTACTCTAGCTTTTTTGTGATTAGTTTGCATGGTATATCTTTCTGTATCCTTTATTTTCAATCCCCTGACTTTCTGTTTATGTCTCTTATAAGCAGCATTTGGGGGGGGATACTTAGATTATTTATTTATTTTGATGGAGGTACTGAGGATGGAACCCAGGACCTTGTGCATGCTACTTTACCACTGAACTATACTCTTCCCCCAAGCAGCATATTCTTAGATTTTACTGTTTTTATTCAGTTTTTAATTGCAGTTAGTACATTTAATGTCATTACTGATATGATTGAACTTAAGTCTGCCACCTTGCTTTTGCTTCTTATTTTTCCCAATTTCCTTTCTTCTTCCTTTTCTGCCCTCTTTTGAGTTAAGAGTAATTTCTAGTTTTATCTCTTTGGGTTTTTCCTTAGCTCCATGTCTTTAATATTTTAGCAACTGCTTTAATGAATATATACATCCTTATGTATAATTAATATTATACATTAATATTATATATAACATTATAACATAATTATTATACTGCTTGTACAATATAAGAAGCTCAATAGTATAATTCTGTTTATTTCACTTCAGCCATTTATGCTATTGTTATCATTTTATTTCTTATGTTTATAACCCCATAATACCATATTCTTGCTTTAAGTAAGCAGTAGATTTTTAAATTTCACATTACCATTTCTGGTTCTCCTCATTTCTTCTTGCAGATCCATTTTTTCCATCTAGGATCATTTCCCTTCCGCTTTAAAAACTTCCTTGTACCATTACTCTTAGTGTGTGCTTGCTGGTAATAAATTCTCTCAGCTTTTGTCTGAAAACGTCTGTTATGTCACCTTCAGTTTTTGAAGGACATTTTCACTAGATTTAGAATTGTAGATTTATAGCTTTTTCTTTCTTTTTTTTAAGCACTTTCTTCCAATAATACTCAGTTGTTGGCTTCTTTTCTTTTTGATGATGTGAACCATTGTTTTTATTGTTTTCTGAATGAATTTTTTTCTGTAGCTTTTAAAAGATTTTCTAATTTTGTTTTTTAGCATGTTGACTCTGATGTACCTAATTGTGATTGCTTTTGTATTCATCCTGCTTAGCATTTTCTGAGCTTCTATCTGTGATTAATTCTATTTCAGCAGTTTGCAGAATTTTTGTGCCTTTTCTCTATAGATGTTCCTTTTGTTTCATTTCCTCTTTTTTTGTTGTTGTTGTTGTTGCTCTTTTTTAGGGGTGGGGGTGGGGGAGGTAATTTGGTTTACTTATTTTTAGAGGAGGTACTGGGAATTGAACCCAGGACCTCATGCATGCTAAGCATGCGCTCTACCACTTGAGCTATACATCTCCCCATTCCCTCTACATACTTCAGAGACTTCAGTTACATGTATATTAAACCTTTGATATCCCAGATGCTATTTATATTTCTTTTTGCTTCAGTTTGGGCCATTTCAATTGATCTGCCTTTGAATTCACTGCACTTAAAGCTCATCCAATTAAATTTCCATTTCAGATATTTAACTTCTGTTTGTTTCTTTTAAGAGTTTATGTGTTGAGAATCTTCACTGCTTCATACATTTTGTTCATCTTGTTCTATAAATTCTTTAGTACATTTTTAATAGCTTTAAAAAAATGTTTGCTAACTTCACCATTGGGCTGTCGGCGGGCCTTATTCATACAGATTTTTTTCTCTTGATTATGGGTCACGTTTTCCTGCTTCTTTGCATATGTGGTCTTTTTTTTTTTATTGTGAATGATACATGGTAGAGACTCTGAATTCTTTTTGTTTCCTATGAAGAAGAATTTTGTTTTGACAGGCTGTGAAATTGAGGGCAGATCACATTGATTGTGTGAAAGCTTGCTAGAGCTCCTCTATTTCATTTTGCTTTGAATTCTAAAATGTAACCTTTATTCCTAGAATATGGATCATATTCTTTAAAATGGAAAGAAAGCCCAAGGTGTTTTACCATGTACCTTTGTGAGGTACAGATTTACAAATTTAATTATGTCTCTCCTGCACTAGGTGGCTGCTGAAATTTCTGCTTGGGTTTTTGGCTTTCCATTTATTGCTTTGCATAGGGTTCCTTGGAATCTCATCATCTTCCACATGTATATTTAGGAGTCAGCTAAGGGTTTGAAGTAAATGTCTGCAGATTTGGGAGCTCCTTGTCTTTGTCTTTCTTTCAGCGATTTTTCTGTAGCCGCGTTGGCAGCTTGAAGCTCCCAACCTCATGTCTCCACAGCCCAATAATACTGTTGCTTTTCATTCAAGTTCCATTTCCCTGTACACTGTGTAAATGGGGAAGTACCTAGTAAATGCAGATCTGTTCCAGTATGCCAGCATCCTTCAAGAATCTTGTCCTCATCCTCATCCTGCATCCTTCAAGAATTCGTGTCCTTCATCCTTCGAGAATTGGTGTCTCTCTGATGCCTTCAAACATTTGTTTTTTATAATTTGCCCAGTGTTTATAATTGAAGTCACCAGGAAGATTAGTCCAATACAACCTACATTGCCATTTTCCAAAATTCAGACTTCTAATAAACTTTAGGACTTTAGTTGTCTTAAGTTGTCAACAGGTAATCAGGTCCCTAATATATACGTTTGTTTGCCCATTAAAATTGTTAAAAAGTAAATATTCTGTAATAAAACAAAAAAGTTTGTTATTTGATGTAATTTTAATGCTGTTAATATGCATCTATGCAGATGAAGATTAGAAGAAAGTCAAAGTTGAAATCTAGTATGTTTAGTAGAAGTTTTTCATTCAAAAAAAAATTTCTAGGGGGAAACCTATAAGTTAAAAGAAGCTTATGAGACTTCTGCAATGTATGAATCTTTTTGCAATTCTGATTCAATCAGTGTGGAGGAAATTGAGTCAGTCAGTAAGATGTTGAGCACTGAATATTTGATATAAAGGAATTATTGGTCACTTTTTTGTGTGATGTTGCAATTATAGTTCTGTTTTTAAAATAAGACTTCATCTTGTAGAGATGTATACTGAAATGTTTATGTTTAAAATGAATTCATATGCTATCTAGGGATGGATGGGGCATAATGAAATAAGATTGGTATTGTATTCAAGCTGAGATATCGTACATGGGTTTATTTATTTTACTTATGTATTTGGTATTTTTAATAAATGAAGTTTTGAAAAAATTATTTTTATACTTAGAATTTAAAGGTAAAATCTAAACTTCCTTATAGCTTTTTTTATATTTATTTGCCAGAATGGTAGCTGAATGGAGGTTGTCTCGTGGTGTTGAAGAACAGACACAAGCTTTCTTTGAGGGCTTTAACGAAATTCTTCCCCAGCAGTATTTGCAATATTTTGATGCAAAGGAATTAGAGGTAATGAGTTTTTCTTCTTTGCTCTGAATGATGCTGTAAATAATGCCTTCAGGTGTCTGCTGTCAGCTCACTTTACCATCTTTCCAATGGCAATAGTATTTTTCATTCTGGCAGGATGTTTCTGAAGCATCCTCAGTGGTTAATAAAAAAAAGTCCATAATTTATCCAAATATATAAAGGATTACAAAAAAAGAGTATTAAAACCTCTGTCCAATGAGTGACTTATTTATCTGAATATTTGCAAATATGACACCAAACATGGAAACTCAATTTTCACAAGTAATATAGATAAAATTTTGATAAAATTCTTAATGCACAGCTTAAAAGCCAAAGCCTCCTGCGTAAGTTTTTTGAAAGTTGTTTAATATTTGTCTTTTCTTACCTATGTTTGGCATTTTTATATAGGTTGTACAGTTACCTAAAGAAAAAACCATTTGTCTTTTCCTTCCCTAAAGGTCCTTCTGTGTGGAATGCAAGAGATTGATTTGAATGACTGGCAAAGACATGCCATCTACCGTCATTACACTAGGACAAGCAAACAAATCTTGTGGTTTTGGCAGGTTTGTCTCAGTTTATTTCTTTTGGCAGACATACCATGGTTTTTAAGAAATTGCCTATACTGCATATGGAAAAGAGTCACAGCACAAAATGTACCAGTTTGTTGAGGCCCCTCATTCCGTTCTATTTGTTATAATAAATAAGTACAGATCATAACAGTATCCATTTAAGTTTGTTTCCAAGTAAGCAACACACACCTTGTACCTTTGGCCAGAGTGTAAGAAGTCCAGATGATAAGATTCCCCTGCATTTGAACTGTCTGAAGTATGGTTTTCATCATTCATATCTCATTAAGAATTATTTAATGTTTAGAAGACAAAACTTGAGAGACTTGGTTTGACATCATAATGGTGTCTCCTAAAAAATGTCTTGTTATAAGTACATGAAAAGAAGCTCAACATTACTCATCATTAGGGTAGTGCATATCAAAACCACAATGAGATACACACTCATTAGAGTGGCTGTTATCAGAAATGGAAAATAATCATCCTTGGTAAGGATATGGAGAAATTAGAACTCCCCTACGTTGCTGGTGGCAATTATAAAATGATGTAACAGTTTGGTGGCTCCCAAAAAGTTAAACATAGAATCATATGATCCAGCAATTGTACTCCTAGGTATACCCAAAACAATTGAAAGCAGAGACTCAGATACTTGTATACCTATATTCGTATCAGCAATATTCACAATAGCTACAAGGTGGAAGCAACCTAAGTGTACATCAACAGATGAATGGATAAACAAAATTTGGTATTACACATAAAATGGAATATTGTCCAACCTTAAAAAGAAAGGAAATTCTGACATAAGCTGCAGCATGGGTGAACCTTAAGGATTTTATGCTAAGTGAAATACACCAGCCATAAAAAGGACAAATATTGCATGATTCCACTTCTATGAGGTATCTAAAATAGGCAAATTTATAGAGACAGAAAGTAGAATAGAGGTTACCAGGGACCGGGGAGAAGGAGGCAGAAGTGAGGAGGTAAGTTTAATGCATTCAGAGTTTTTATTCGGGAAAATAATACAAGTTCTGGAAACAGTGGTGATGGTTACTCAACAGTGTGAATGTAGTTAATGCCATTGAATTATACACTTAAAATGTTAAGTGGTGCATTTTTATGTTATATATTTTAGCACAATAAAAAAATGTTTAATGCCTACTATTTGTATAAGGAAGTACATAGGAAACTTAGATGACTGAGGTTCTTTAATGAATACGATTAGCATTTTAAAATACTTGACAGTAGTACAGAAGGATAAAAATTATTTACCAAAAAAAAAATTTGGCTGAACCAAAATACTTGTGTTATAGGCTAGGAAGCATATTCCAGAAATTTAATGTTTTGAGCCAGAATTGTAGGAGTTAAAATCCAAATAATTCTGACAACATATAGCTACACCAAAACATAAACAACATTGAGAGAAGAATATATATCTGGATCAGAATTTGTGAGCTTGGTATATCATTGGTTTGTAAAACCAAAAAGGCTGTTCTGACTCAAACTCTTTGTCCTATGTAACTACGTGAATATTCTATAGGACAGGATATAGAGGGGAAAGGATGGGTTGCTCTAAAAGAAATGATCTTGAGACTGTTTGAGTAGGGAGCTCTTGGGCCCAGGGTGCTCTTCTTTTTCTGTCTTCCTATTAAGAATATGCTACTAAGATTTTTATAGGGAAAGGTTGGTGGGCTTTGACAAACATGGAGAATCTCTGTTATCCACAGTGGTGGGTACAGTCATTTTCTAGTGCATGTGACCCCGGAAGTTCATGGTTAAGATTTAAAATGATTTTTTTCTTTCCTTTTTAGTACGCTAAACATATTATATGTTTTAATGTGCTTTTAACAGTTTGTTAAAGAAATCGATAATGAGAAGAGAATGAGACTTTTGCAGTTTGTTACTGGAACCTGCCGATTACCAGTCGGAGGATTTGCTGACCTCATGGGTATGTCTGCAGGATCACTTTCGCTATATAGAAAGTTGTTCATCACACTGACACACTATATACACTAATGTATATAATGTGTATATAGTGTGTCAGAAATAACAAAGACATGTATAGCCATTTTCTTAACTAGTCAACAGTTATCCTGCATTTATATAAATTTTAAATTTTGTAGTCCTTAAAAATTATTAAGTTTTAGGCTAAACTCCACATTTTAACTCAGTAGGATAGTGGTCTTCTGTATGTAAATCTGTTTCTTCATTCAATCATTTGGTAAACATTTTAGTGTCTCCTAGGAGCCAGGCATTGTTTGTATTATGTTTTAATGATATATTTACCACTTTTCCCTTTTATACCTGGAGCTCCTTTACATGCAGATCTATGTATTAATCTTTTTATTTCTGGTGCCTACCACAGTGCCTTTCACATAGTAGTCACTGATTAAAATGTCTGTTGTTTTGAAATCAATCACCATAAGAATATTATTTTGTGATTAAATAATAAGTTAAGTAAATTCGAGTCTTTAACAACAACACTATGCAAGTAGGAGGTTAGAAGAGTTGTTGTGATCCCTAAGTCTGCAGAGCAGAGAGAGTTAAAGAATCAAGTAGGCAATTTTAGATACAGTGTGGAACCAGTTTAAAAGATATCAAAAGTCAGATCAAAAGAATTTGGACATTACTCAGGGTTTTGGAAGCTGTGGGAACTTTTTGAAGACAGAAGAACTTGTTGAAGCTGTATTTTAGGAAGATTTGATAGCAAGGTATAGTGTGCATTAAAAGATAGGGAGAGCCTGGAAATAAATTATTAAAGCAGTGATAAGAATGTGATCTTAGGAAATGGAAGTAGGATGGAAAAGAAGAGATCAATGCTAGAGAGGTTCCAAAGGTAGAAACAGGACTTGATTATAAGATTAAAATATAAAGGAAGAATGTCAAAAATATTATTACTATGTTGTGAAAGATTGAGAAGTGTGAAGCGTGAATTGTAAGGAACCTGCTGAGTTTAAGGTAACTATCAGACAACCAAGTAGGAAACGTCAATGGGGGGACAGTTATACAGGTGTTAACTAAAGTATGAGTTTAGAAGTAAGAGGAGAGAGATAAAGTAGAGTCATAAGAGCAGTGAAGCAGTGACATTTGAAACTGTGAGAATGGATGGGCTTATGCAGAAATAGAATACAGAGAAGAGTAGAGAGCTAATGCTTAGAAACATCTGTATTTAGGGATTAGTCAGGAATAGCCTAGAGGCAGACTTAAAAGGCCAGGCCAGAGAGAGAAGAGGAGAAATAAATATTCTAGTCTCTCTAAGGTAATATAGAAGGGAAATTTTTATCCAGTGCTGCTGAGAGAGAGGTCTCAAATGGATAATTTCTAAGTAAGTTTTTGGGGAGGGACACGTTTGAGAATGCTGTCTAATTTGAAAAAGAGAAACCATGTTGGGAATTGAGGAAGTAAGGAATAGTGACCAAAATGAGACAAAAATTGGTATATGCTTCTCAGTATAAACTGGAAATCTGATTATTAAGGAAATGAGAACTAGGTCTGCTCTTGGAAATAGTATTTGAGGTTGGGTGGAGCTGTCTAAAACAACACAGAAGGATACCTGTAGAAGGCAGAGACAGCAAGATTGTGGTTCATAGAATTTTAGAGGACTTTGGATTCAGTCTTCCACCAAGTATAGGAGGAGAAAGTTGTAAGAGTGATGTATATAATAATTTAACGTGGTTCTCAACCTTATCAGATCTAACATCCCATTGAATAACAGAATATCCTCACTAATATTCTGGAATGAAATTGGTAGATGTGAAGTCACATATGTACAATCTGCAGTAAATACAGATACATAACACTTACTGTAAAGAAGAAATTTTTTCCAAAGTGATTTACACTGAAATGTTTATTTCAATACCTGTATATTTGGGAACAACTATGTTAGAAGAAACAAGTGAGTGGCTAGATACTTGTACCTACTTGAAAGTTTTGGGTTTAAGGTCAGAAGCCCTTCTGTATAAGAAGCACTGGAATATGAAAGAACAGATAGAAAAGGTAACAAATAATAGATTTAAATAAATATGAGAAAAATAGGGAAATAATCTAAATGAATTAGGGATAGTATGCCTGCCAAAATAATTTATAGGTGATCAAAGTAGAGAAAAAATGAGGTAGGTCTTATTTTAAAGTACAGTGTCTAATTATGAAATTCCAGTACAGGCCAAGGCTCTGATATGGGAAAAGGCAACAGAGACCATATAATTTGAAAGTTGAAACAAGCTGACAATAGGAACAGAGGTGTAAGAGTCTAAATGGAAGTTGTTTGGTGTAGGGACAGTGTCAAAGTAAGATTGAAAACAACAGGCAACCTAAAATTATTTTCGGTATATAATGTCTACAACTTGAAGTTTTCAAATTCCATGCGGTTTTAGAAAGCATCCAGGATGATAGTAATATTCGATTCTAAGTCTATTAAAAGCAATCCAGACTCTGCTGTTACATATTAACTATTAAATGAAACTCTCCACCTGTGTGGTTAGAAATGCTGTGATGCATTGAGTAAACAGAGTGTGCAGAGTGAGTAGACTATTTAATACTTTCAAGCTTAATTAATAATTTTAACTGTTTCTTTTCATAATGACCATTTCCTATATTACTTGGCTTTTCACATTTGTGAAAACTATTTGTGATAACACTTCGATGTTACTAGATATAAAAGTACTACCAATTTATATTTGTACTGGGTTTAGTCAGGTAGGACATGAGAAAGTTCCTTGGGAATGACTGTCGCACACGTTGCAGGGCATTTTGCGTGCCTGGCCCCTTCTCAAATAAAAAGTCCTACCAATAAATGCTTCCTAGGGAGCAGTAGTGACTTTTTAGAAAACCAGTATTTAAAGATCACCCATTCACAGCTGTCTCCAACACAGAGTAAGTGAGAGGCAAGAGTTGGGTGTGTGTATGCGTAAGGGTACGTACGCCCTACAGGGCCAGTAAACGCAAGCATTACTAATATTTACCAGGTTGTTTACATTTTCTAGAGTTTTAACGATTTTCTGTTTAAGTCAAGTTTTGTTGTATAAGATGGTGATTGTAGTTTCCCTGTTGTGTTTATTCTTTTTTTTTTTTAATTTTGGGGGAGGTAATTAGGTTCTTATTTATTTACTTATTATTTTAATGGAGGTATTGGGGATTGAACTCAGGACCTCATGCATGCGAAGCAAGCACTCTACCAGCTGAGCTATACTCTCCCCCCTCCCTGTTGTGTTTAAAACTGAAAATAAGTTTTGTATGTGTTCTCTTATGTGAGCTATTATTATAGTACTGTTATTCTGAGGAATACTGGATAAAACTGCATTTTCTCTTGGGCACACATTAACAAAATGGTTCTCAAACTTCTATCACTCATCAGAATCACCTGAAAGTTTCTTAAAACACATATTGCTGTGTTTCACCCCCAGAGGTTTTGATTGAATTCATTAGGCTTGGGTTAGGGCCTATGGGTGATTTTGAACATGTTCCCTGGTGATGTTGTTGCAGCTGGATTGGGGATAACAATTTGAGAACCATTGCCCTGTCACACTGTTGATGAGTTCACTATATTTTAGGGAGCAATGGACCACAGAAATTCTGCATTGAAAAAGTTGGGAAAGAAAACTGGTTACCCAGAAGTCATACCTGGTAAGTAAAATCAGGAAGAGTATATAGAAAAATATCCTTTTCCCAATTATCCTGTAGTTATTAAAATATGTTGGAGATTAGAAATGAAATATTTCCCCCATTATACTGAATTATTTTTAACATCTCTAGTGAGGTATAATTTATGTAACATAAAACTTACCCGTTTTAATTCAGTGATATGTAGGAGATTTACAGAGAAGTAGCCATCTTGTTAATCCAGTTTTAGAGTATTTCTATCACCCCCGAACAATCCTTTGGGCCCATTTATAGTCAGTCCCCTTTCTTACCCCTGAATTTTTTTTTTAATGTCATATTTAGAAAACTTAAAATTTTGCAGGCAGAGGAAGAAATCACATCTAGATAGCTATATGGAGAGCTACTCTTAACATGGCAACAGAAATAGTATTTTCTAACTATAAATGTAGTTTAACCACATTTGCAAAAATGTGCAAAACTAAAAATCAACCCTAATCTTAAGTGTAATATGTTGAAATTCAACCTATTGTCAACAATATTTGAACTTTATTTTGTGAGACATTTCTGTGGTCATATATAGACCTTGCTGGATACTCCTTTATTTTCCCTATCTGCCCTTTTTATTTGTTTTATTGTTTGTTCCTTTGTATTGTCATACACATAGCTTTTTAAAAATAGCAACTTTGCACCTTCGTTGAAAATCAATTGACCATAAGTACATGGGTTTATTTCTGGATTCTCAATTATATTCCATTGATCTATGTGTCTATCCTTAGTGGCAGTAACACTGTCTTGAGTACTATAACTTTTCAGTAAGTTTTGAAATTAGGTATGCTTTCTCCAACTTTTACAAGACTGTTTCTGGTCTTTTGGGTCTTTTGGATTTCCATTTGAATTTTAGGATCAGCTTGTCCATTTCTTCAAAGAGGTCAGCTGGGATTTTGATACGAATTGCTTTGATTAATTTGGGAGAGTCTTGTCATCTTAACAGTATTATGTCTTCTGATTCATGGACATCAGATGTCTTTCCATTTATTTAGGTTGTCTTTAATTTATTTCAGCCATGTTTTGTACTTTTCATTATACAAGCCTTGCATTTCTTCTGTTAAATTTATTCTTAAGTAGTTTAGTCTTTTTAAAGCTATTATAAATGGAATTGTTTTCTTAATTCCATTTCAGATTATTCATTGCTAATGTATAAAAATTCAGTTGATTTTTTAAAAAAATATGCTTTTATTGAAGTACAGTTTACAATGTTGTGTCAGTTTCTGTTGTACAGCACAATACTTCAGTCACATAGGAACATACATTTGTTCTCATATTCTTCTTCACTATAGATTACTACAAGATACTGAATATGGTTCCCTGTGCTATACAGTATAAAGTTGTTTAGAAATACAGTTGATTTTTGTACATTCACCTTGTATACATGTGTTTTGGTTTGATCTTTTGTCCCTTTTTTCAAACTTGGAATAGGCTGTGCCATTATGTAATTGTGAACAGCTTATCTCAGTCATACATGAAAACCTGCCTCATTACTTTTTCAAGTTCCATGTTTCCTTTTGTTCATTTTCATAAATGTAAATTTATTTTCCCTTTGTGGGTAGCATTATTTCTTCTGTTGTCAAACATCTGCCTACACTTTATCCTAAAAATACAGCAGAAGGCCAAGGCTTCAGGGCAGATTTACTGCCTATTACCTTGTGAAGGTGATCTTAATGTGGCCCCAAATTAGAAGATGCCTTTTAAAAACTCACAGCTAAAAATTGGACAGAGAAATTGAGTAGGATCAGAATATTAGATATTAGAACAGAAAATTATTTTTAATCTTAATGTGGTATACTGAAAATCTTTGGATAAGAGACCTATGGCCCACAAAGCCATATTTACTGTCTAGCCCTTTACAGAAAAAACCTGCTGTCCTGTGATCTAGATTAGGGTGGATGGGAGATCTTGAGAGATCTAACACTTGACTTAGTGACTGCTGAGCACCAGGTACTGTGCTGTACAGATGCTTGTTTCTTCTTCACTCTATCCTGAGAGGTAAATGTTGTTCCCATTTTACCAAAGGAATGGAAAGGTAAAAAGCACTTGTCGAAGGCCCAGTGACAGAAGTTAGGATTTGAACCCAATTTTGCCTGACTTCAAAACCAGTGTTGTTATATACTATACTGCCCATATGAGTCTTTGTATATTTCCTTTTCTCAAGCTAACAATTCTTACTTTTAGTTTTAACCGCCTGGATCTGCCACCCTATAAGAGCTATGAGCAACTGAAGGAAAAGCTGTTATTTGCCATTGAAGAAACAGAAGGATTTGGACAAGAGTGACTTCTGAGAACTTGCACCGCCAAAGGAAAAGAACTTATTTGCAATGTTTGTCCTTTTCCTTCTCTGCCTATTGCACATCTGGTTATAAAATTGGACTGTGACTGTTTAGAGAGTTATCTTGAGTGTAAGTAAATTAATGTTATCATTGAGATTTATCTCCTAGTGATTCTGGCTTTCTTCTCAGCATTTCCAGAAATCAGATCTGCAAATGACTAGTCAAAACTTTACTTAACATGAGATTTAACAGAGCAATGAAATCTGCTTTGTCTTATTCCACTAGATTGTTTCCTTAACAAGTCTGTATATGAGTGTCAGAAGTCTCCCTTGGGAGTAGGTTTTTTTCTGTTAGAGATTTTGTAGATATGCGGGGAAGTCCTTTGGTAACTAAAATATGTAAGATCTTCCTATTAAGCCTCCTGGTAAGAGGTATTTGTTTAAAAGGACAAGCTTAACTCAGTTTCTGGGGACATGAGCAAATTTCTGGCTTGTGCTCTCCCTCTCATTTCAGCCTGGCGTGACTGTTGTTTTTCCTTTCCAGAGCATGAATCCGTGCATCATTTTGATGTTATTATTCCTGGAAAGGAGAGATGCAGGGCTCTTGCATCTCTCTACAAAGTAGTTTTATAAATTTGAATTTGGGGAGAACTTGGTCCTAGCCTGCAAATGACTTCATAACTCTCTTCATTTGGAAGTTTGATTGTTTTAATTGCCCTGCAAATACTAAACTTTACAAACAGTATTAACACTGTGCTTCCTTCACTATAGATACAAAAGTCAACCTAGAATTGGAATTAATTTAGCGAATTCATCTAAGGCCATCACAGTTTTTGTATGACCCTCTATATAAATTGCATCTTTATAATTTTATCACAATCCAGCAACTTCAGTTATTTAATTATTGCTAAAGGAGTTCAAGTTATAACTCGAGTGCTTTCTAGTCCAAGTAGAGGTCAGTGAAACATCCTATAAAATTACATTTTCATTAGGGATGGAGAGCTGTGGTACTAACTAAAAAGAAGGGAGTAATACATTCACCAGCAGTGCATTTCTAGTAACCACAGGAATGTATTGTCTGTGTGAATTAAGCCTTCAGATTTATCATTTCTCTGACACATGTTGGAGTAGTTATTTCCAGTCTTTCTATTGTCCTGAGTTGGATATTCTGTTCACCTCTAAAAACTTTAACAGGTTTTCTCTATAACTCTTTAATATTAGATTGCTCCGTTAATAACTAATTAATGCACTTTGAACTTATCTGTAGTAATTCTTTTAACTTAGCCTAGCTTAGACTCTGTCAAGATGGCTGCTGTCAGAGGTTTTATTTTATGGACAGTGGGATGAAGCCTAAGCCAGCTGAGTGCCTATCATAGCTGGACCCTGAGGACAGCCTCATAACTCATGAAATAGGGACTTCAGCAGGTTTCAGTAGCATAGCATGAACAAGTAGCATTGAGCCAAAACGAAGCAGAAAATAGCAAACCCCTATTACATACGGAAAGAAAATGGGGTTTTTTTGGTCCCTAACTACTCTTCCTTTTGCATCCTGGAACAACAACAAAAACATTTTCAAACTTGTGTATCTGTACTCTAAAACACTGCCATCATAAAGCAGACTTATGTGAGTGAAAGGGTTGCCTCATCCAGAAATTGTCGGTGTAAGGGGGAGAGTGGGTTCTCCCCAATCCTATCTTTATTTTGATTTTATTCTACATGCTCTAGGAAACGTGGTATGGTCTCTAAAAGCCCCAATTGTTTTCAAAGTAGGGACTCTCTGCCCTTCTGTTGGTAGGGGAAAAAGTGCTATTGCTTTGTCTTTCAGAGCAAATGCTGCCAACTACCCATTCGTTATATATGTCTGAACTTCGGTAGTATGTGGCTATGGAGATTAAGCCTTCTATAAAGACTTCCTATTGAGATGAATGCTCATATTGAAATGTAGTTACCTACAATATATACTAGACATTTATGAGATTAAATTAAGAGATAATGTAAGAAAGTAGACTTTCTTTGTTCTACATAATGCTTGATGATTCATTTAGGGACCTAGAAATATTGTGTGAAAATGTATAAATATCACCCAAAAGGCTCTCTGCCCTATATTTTTAAAATACAGAATAGTTATATTTGAAGTAGTCCTGGCCCTAGTTCTATAGGGCTTGGCTATTTAATATTTTTATGGAAGAAAAGTTTAGTTCTGGAAAAGGAAATGCTTGTATATATTTTTGCAGCCTGGGATCTCCCTTACTCCATTTCTTCCTTTAATTTAAATGGCCACATGTATATGTCTTTCCCTGCTGTGTTAGGAAAATGGGGGCTGGATATCCCAAGAATCAGAGGTTATATAAAAATACTGCAAATAAACAGCAGACATAAATATTTACTAAACACTACCTTAAATTTTGGTCCAAACTGAACATCTGGAAATAGATTTATTGTAAGTGTTTAATTAGAGCAATTTCTTAAATCAGAACTAAATTGCTTTTAGAGTCCTTTTTCTTTGTAAGCATTGTAAATGCTAATAAATCCTGTTATTATTTTTTACTGCATGTTATGTTGAAATAAAAACAAAGTAAAGTGAGCAATGGCCTTATTCTTCTGCTCTTTTGGGAGGTTGGGAAGGCAGCATTTCATGTAGCCTGGGTCACGAGGGAAGGACCTCACTTGTTCATCAAATAGAGTGATTTAAAACTGATCCAGCGACTCATAATAATGAATTTCTGCTCTGTCTTTCACGATCTTAGAGTGCAGAAGAATCCAATTTCATAAGACTTACAATAACTCTATTTAAAATTCAGGTACTAATTTTTCATCAAGAGATTGACATACCAATGTGTATTCATCAGAAATTTTAGTGAAACATGACTCACCTGCCCACAGAGGTCTCATCCTAAATGAACTATTTCAGTCAAAACCACTCTGCCACTTTCTATTTATCTGGTTAAGAATCTGAAATGTTATTAGGAATGACTCAAGGAATTAGACTTTTCTATTTTTATATCCCTCCTTGTTTTGGATGTAATTCCATCCTTTTAAACTCCTTTAGGTTAACCACTTCTATTTAATATTGTTGGTATCTCCAGCCCCCTTCATTTTCTTGTATTTCTTTGAGAGTTATTTACAAAATTATTTGTATATATGCTATGCTTTCATTAACTAAAAATGGAATGGCAGCACTGGATTGTACATTACTGTATTGGAGTTCCTTTGTTTTCTTGAACTGTAATTTCAAATACTCAGGTAACTCTACAAATATCACAAGGAGTCAAGTGCTCTTACAAAGGTCCTTCAAGGGGCTGCCTCACTTGCATTTCCTTAAAAGATGTTAAGATTGTTTACAATTAAAAATTTTGGTCCTTCATTTGCACACTTTTCTGTTAGTCTTGAGTAAGGTTTTCCCCACCTTTAGGGAAGCCTTCTGTATGACCAGGTCTCATAGATTTTTGCCTCTGCTTTTGTAATTGGGCAGGTTACAGCCTGTCTGCACTGTGGAGTGGATAGAAAAAACTAGAAAGACATACTGAGGTGAGACAGGATTTGGTGCCTACATTGACGAGAACCAAGAAGACGACATCTGCTCTTCTGGGACAATTAGAGGTGCCCTAAGACAGGATCCCAGGCGTGGGTGCTCAATAGATAACCACCAGCTAGCTACTAAGACTGTCAGTAAGCTGTCCTCACTAGCTTTAGCAGACCTTTTGCTTATTAGGAACTCAAGTGATCATGCTCTCATTTAAAAAAGAACCAATGGAAAGAGAGGTGAGATGTTTTAATATGCTGATTTAAGAATGACTACAGGACAGAAATTACACTTTCCTCCCAGGTCCTGGAAAGTAGACTATCTGTTTAACCTGTCCCATATAAACAGCCAGAAAGCTCTAGTTTCAGTGTGGCTAAGAAAAAGGGGGGAGATATGTTCCCCCCAGCATGAGGAAATCTTCCATGGGGAAATAAGTAGTTGTCCTTACTGACCATTGGCTGTCCAGCCCCAAACCCTACAAAGCATGAAACTGGGACTGACTGGCTGATGTTCCCAGGAAGAGTGTCTCACATTGTGTAACTCCAGAACAGAAACTGCTGTCACTCCCAGCTTACTTCATTTGTCAATTCCTGTGTGTCTGTACATTTACAGTCAGGACATTTGCGGAGAAGATCCAAGGGAATCTTCCTGGTAGGCAAGGAGGGTCTTCAATGGAGAGGTCAGAAGGACAGTGCTGGTCCCTTATGAACAGGTTCCCACTAAGCAAAGATACTGTGGGCAAGAGCGTTTATTCAAAGAAATCCACAGGGGAGGACCTTGAGAATTTGCAGCCATGCCTGTGTATCACTGAAAAAAACAGCTATTCTCCTCTTTTCCTCATTTCTAATTCAGACCTCTTCTATTTGTCTTTATCCTAGTAACCAGTATCACACCTATATTCACTCAGTCCAGGACAACGATCAACATTTATTACTATGTCCCAAATACTTAGATATGCCACATGAACTGTCATTTAGTCTTCCTGGACACACTCAGAGAGGAATGATTATTTTACACGAAATAGAGGTTCACTGTGATTGCATAACTTGACGTGTACACAGCTGTTAAGTGGCAAGTGTGCAAACAAATCCAGGACCCTCTGACTCCAAAGCCTGCATGCTTAAACATTTTGCTGTACTGCTACTCACAACAATCCTGGGAATTGTCCACAACCAACTCAGCTGTTCCATCTAACTAGTCTCCAAATCCTGTCCAATCCATCACCAAAACTTCTTTAAAAAAAACTCTCAGAGCTGCCCCCCTTACCACAGCCCACATCCTTCATCTCTACCCTGGTTGACTGTAGCAATGTCTTGTCATTGCTTCCATTCTCTTCCCTCCATCCATCTGCTGCCTTAGAATGATCATGCTTCTCCCCTCTTAAAATATTACAATATCACCCCTTTCAGTCTGGTTCTCCATATGTAAGATGGTGGTGATGATCCTTCCTGTGCTCATCTTCCAGGGCCAATCACTACAGCCCTTCCCCTTGCTTTCCCGGTTTCCAGTATTCAACAATCATTTCTTTGTGCCCAGTCCTTTTTTTTAAACTTTGAAATAATTTTAGACTTACAGAGTAATTTTAGACCTCCAGGTGTTGCAAAAATAGTAGAGTTCCTGCACACCCTTTGTCCAGCTTTCCCCAATGTTAACATCCCTTGTAACTTGGTACAATTATACAACTGGTATCTTAATATTATGTATTATACATATTATATTAATAACTAATAATCGGTAAAATACTAAACAACCCTTATACAGATTTCACCAGTTTTTCCACCAATGTCGTTTTTCTCACTCTCTTCCAATCTATGATAGTTCCTCATTCATTGTCTTTCAGGACCTTAACATTTTTTGAGTACTGGTCAGTTACCTTGTAAAATGTTCCTCAAGTTTGGTTTAATGTTTTCTCATGGTTAAGCCATAGATTTTTGTGAAAAGTATCAGAGGTGACGTGTCCTTAAAGTATGTCAGAGAGCACACATCAACATACTCCATTATCAGTAACCTTGATCCTCTGGTACGATGGTGTCTGCCAGGTTTCCACAATGTAAAGTAACTATTCAATCCTCTTAACATGCAGACGCCCCTGAAAGAACCAAATCCTTCCCTTACTGAAAGAGGGTACATGACATTTTGCAGTTAGATCATCTGCGTTGAATTCAGCAACCTCCAGTGCCTCGAAGAAACTATAATGCTGAGACTACTGGAGATAACGCTGTGTCGGCCCAGTAATGTGGCCCAAGGTTCACTAAAAGGCAATGTGTTTAAACAAATTATTTCTTGCTAGAGAACCCAGAAATTTCTGTGGCAAACGGAACAACAACGGGCTCCGAGAAGGGTCCCTCCTTTAAAGGTGAGAAAAAAAAGGCAGCACAGAAATGTGAAGTGGCTTCTCCAAGGTAAAATAGGGGTGGGGCTGAGCTCGGAGTCCTAAGTCTGCAGAATCCCAGGATAGCCCTGACCACTTGATTCCAAGCCTGGATGGAATGTTCCCAAGGAAGTCGCTTTGGCGACTCTAGGGACCCTTGACTCCAGCCCGAACTCCGGACTTCCTCACGTCTTCGGTGCATTTTGGCTCCGCGCGTCACCTTGCCTCAATATGGGCGCAAAGAGAGTGTCAGCAAACCCCCTCCTCGCCTTCAGACTCGCTCACCACCCTACACCCAGAACTTCCACAGCCGGCCCAGACCTCGGTTGAGGGTTGAAAGACTCTTCTAACACCGCGAACCAGTATCTTCGGCACAACTGGAGTTCGGAATTTTCCAACGCTGAAGTGCTTTGCTTTCCACTCTTCGGACAGCGCAGAGCAAATTTCCCAAGAGCCCTGGGCCGCTAAGATCCGCCCGCCCGCTCGCCCCACGCCGGCTCCTGATAGGCTCCTGAGGCTGTCCGCTTTGACAGAGAGCTCTGCGCAGGCGCGGAAAAGCTGCGGGACTGGGCTGAGTACCGGCGACGCGGAGCTACCGGGTCGGTCCAAGATGGTGAGTGTCCGCCAAGAGCGTATGGCTGGCGGTCGGCTGGTGGCCGAGCATGGCCACCCACCACCCTGAGCCTGGCCTTCCATCCTCCGGGGGCGGCTCCGAGTGCCGGGCTGGGCATTTGCGGGTCTGGGCAGGGCCGGGCCAGAGCTGTCTGGCGGGCGGAACCCGGCGGTCATGGGCCTCCAGACCCGGACCGAGGGGACAGAGGCGGTGCCACCGGATCCTGCTGTCCCTTGACCGGAAGCAGTTGCTCGGGCCTCGGCGGGGGATTGACGGAGAGGGGAGGCCGGCCCACAGGCCTCTGCATCCTAGCATCCTGGGCCTTGTGGCGCGGTAACAACAGTAATGATAACATTTCCTGAAAGCTTAATTTGTGTCAGGCACTGCTAAGCGCTTTACGTACCCCGGCCTTCCTCCTTACCATAGCTTTGCGAGTTAGGTATGCCCATTATCCCCATTTTACATACTTGGAATCTAAAGTCTGGTGAATCTAAGTGCCCTGCCCCAGGAAATGGCGGAGGTGTATTTGAACCCTAGAAGCTTGAATGCTGCCTTTATGTTAGGGTGGCTCTTCCGACCCGCTGGGACTTGATGCATGAGTCAGAAACGGGCGGGATCCACCCTTGGGGTTCCTGCCTTGCTGGCCGAAACTGTGGGCTCTTTACGCCTTTACAGGTTTGTTTTCTTGTGTTTTTAATCCTCCCAACTTGATTAAAAAAAAAAAACAACGAAAAACTTGAAAAGACTTTTTAAATGTTAAACCATATGAATGATTTAAGAAAATCTTATTTAAGAATTTAAAGCCTGTAAGAAAAATTGAAAAGGAGTAAGAAACAGTGCCATGACCTGGAGGTAACAACTTGTAATTAAGCATATTACTCCTAGTCTTTTTTTCCTTCAGATTTTGTTTTATATAGTTAGCTAATTTATACTATAGGTGAAGAAATTTAATCTTTCACATCACTTTTTAAACTGTGAAAATAATTAACTTTAACAGATAATAAAAATAATTTGAAAGGATCTAATTAAAAAGTAAAGCTCCAACCCAACCGTGACCCCCAGGCTCAGCCTCCTTCAGAAACATTGTTTCTTGTATATCTACATAAGCATGTATGTATGTCCCCTCTTTTTCTTACACAAATGGTAACTTCTTGCAACCTGTACCATGCTATTATGTATTTATACTCATAAAAGCAAAACATGTTTACATGCACATTTTAACAAATTCAAGCAGTACCAAGGTGTGTATGTACAAAGTGTATGTAGTGCCCATCTCAGTCCCCTCTGGTAACAACTACTGACAATTGGGTGTGTTTCCTTCCAGATTGATTTACTGCATAAGCATGTTTATATATAATCTGTTTATTATGTGAAATTGGAACATACATATTTATACGTAGTAAATTTATAGGCTATATCTGTAGATAATCTCATTCTGCAACTTAACACTGTTCATTAAAAACAATTTTTTCCCCACACCAGTATACACAAATCTACCTCATTCTTTTTAAGGACTGTATTCATATTCGATTGCAATATATACATTTTGGTAATTTACAGTTTTTCACTTCAGACAATGCTGCACTACTGTTTTTGTGTTTGTTTTGTTTTGCACTCATGTTAGTGTTAGGTAGAAGTGGTACTTATGGCATGCATATTTTAACATTTTAACATTTTGGTAAAAACTGGCAAATTGCCCTTTAGAATGGTGATATAAAAATCATCCATAATTTGCATCCAGTTTTATTGCACCACACTTTTTAAATCTTTGTACATTCTCCTTCCCTTTTGTTAACATATGCATATTTTTCAAGATGTACATGCTAGTTTTTCGGTTTTGTTTGTTTTGATATTTGAAGACATATAGCTTTCTTGCTGCATCACCTTTGTAATGAGTTATTTTTAGTGACTACATAATGGTCGATGAAATATCTGTACCATAATTTGCCAGACCATTCCCCTGGTGTATATTTGGGTTGCTTTTAGTTCTTCGTTAATAGAGATAATGCTGTGATGAATATCTCTGTATGTGTAGGGTTTATTTTCTCTTCTTTTCTTTTTTAAACATATTAGGTTATTTCCTTAGGGTAGGAGAAATTCTCAGGAAAAGAATTTCTGAGCAAGGAGGCCAACACTTTTATGGTTCTTACAATAGTGTGGTCATGTAGCTTTCCCAAAAGGTCTTATTGCCTTTGTACCAGTTTTGCCATAATACTGCCAGCATTTAAAAGGATACCTCATTGCTATACTTTTCTTTATTTATAAGGAACGATGAACATTTTTCTATGTGTTTATAATTTCTCCTCGGTGTATTTTCTCCCAGTATCCTTTTTGCCCGCTTAACTTTTAGAGACTCGCTATTTTTCTTAATCATTCTCTGTGGTGTTTGGAATTACTCTTTTGTCTGTTACATTTGATGCAGTTTTTCTCTCCTTTTTTAAATTAAAAAATTTTTGTATATATATTTTTATTGAAGTGTTTTTCTCTCCTTGTAATTAATTTTTGTTTTACAGAAATTAAAATTTTTATACTTAGTAGTCACATTGGTCACAGTTCTTTTGTGAATCATTTGCTTCACATGGTTATCCCCCTATGCTGAACCAGTAAATAATCCTGGAGTTTTACTGCTACTTGTTTTTTTAATCTGTCAGCTACATGCCCCTGGGAACTGGAGAACCCAGGAGACTTGTCCCTTCTCTGAGGCAGACATCCATGTTAATAGTAATAAAGACTCAGGATGCTGAGGATACCAGCTGGGCTCTCTCTAGGAGCAGGACAGGGGGTTGGAGCTATGAGCCAACCCTGGGGGCCTGCGGATCCACTCTGATATTTCTGGCACCAGTTGGCTGGCCCTACAGGGATGACAAACTTTAGAGGCAAAGGTGGCATGATTTAGATACCTGACTAGGACTGTCCTTTCCCGCCTGCAGATGTCCCCTGTTGCTGCTTGTAGCTTTTTAGCATCATTTGTTTTCTTTCTTGGCTCCTTTAGGGCTAAACTTGAAGTTTGTTTTAAGCAGTTTCTCCTGAAAGCAGGTGTCCTGTGCCTCCTGGAGACCCCTCTAGACCTCATGGCCTCCACGCACTCAGGTCCAAGCCCACCGTACTGGTTGGGGTCAGGTTGGAGAAGCTTTTCTCTAGTCTTACAGGGAAAAAAATTTTATTAAATTTGACTGCTTACAAATTTTTAACTTCTGATTGAAAAAAAAATCGTAAGATTAAATTTTAAAAGTGGGAGAAGTATAATTTATATGATGGACAAAAGTTACTATTTCTAACAAAAAAGAGTTTTTGGAAATGAATAAGAGTTGTAGAAAAATCAAAAGACTCAAAAAAGGAGAGATGCAAACAGTCAAATTCCACTTTAGCTTCAATGATAAGTTTTTTTTTTTTCCTGACCAACCTCACTGATAACTTAAAAATTAAAGAAAAGTTGGCTTTCTATTATTTGGGTTTTTCCTATCAGATTGGCAAAGAATCAAAAACCTTGGCAATACTGGTTATCTCTGTTCCTTAAACATGCCAAACTCTTTCCCACTTCACTGCATTAGCTTTCATCCCATTGCCTGGAGTGCTTTTCTTTTTCATCATTTAGTTTTTGGCTTAAAGATTACATCCTCAGGTGTTACTGACCACATCAGCCAAAGTAGCCATCCCCCTGCTCACCCCAGCTCTGTCCCTGTACCCTGCAGGAATCTTGATCACTTGTTTTTGATGGTCTCTTCCACCAAAATGTGAGTGCCCTGAAGACAGAGACCTCATTGTTTGTGGTTAGTGGTATATTTAGCTCTTGACCTGCTGTGTGTCCTTGGGCAGAACTCTTCTCCTTTCTGAGCCTTGGTTTCCTCATTGTAAAATGGAGATCATATTAAAAATCATGGAAAGTTCAGACAAGATGTGTGTCTGAAAACATTCATCCTAATATTTAACTTGCAGCAGGTACTGAGTAGGTCAGTGTATACTTGTACATCCTCCCTTTACTGGTAAGTGTGTGTTTACTTTTTAAGCAGCCAGATCTCAGTGGTTTATTCTCATTAAATTTAGGATGAACTAAACCCTAGCTCTTTTTCAACCTGGGTGCTATGTCTCCCCTCTGTACTTAAAAAGGTTGATTTTTGTAAAACATAGTTGCAGAAATATTTTTTATTTGTTCCTTAAGTATTTATTGAGCTTATACTGTACAAGGTACTAGGATCATAAAGTCTAGGTTCCTGCTCCCAAGCTGCCTTGGGTCTGGAGGAGGAGACAGAAGCAAGACAATTACACTCCATAAGTGCTATGAATCAGGTTGCCATGGGTGCCTAGAAGAGGGGCAGCTGTCTGAGAAGGCCTCCCATGGAGGCTCATGAGCTGAGTCCAAAGAGTTGGGAGTTAGTTACAGCAAGTAGTGAGGGAGGAAGAGAAGGCTGCTTCTTTCAGAGAGAGCAGAATGTGTCAGGGCCCAGGCTCAGGCAGGTGGTTTCTGCCTCCTGCAGTCCATTCTCCACACAGCAGCCATGCTGTCCTTTGAAACATCAGATCTTGTCACCGCTCACGTCAAAAACTGCTAGTGGCTCCCCAGACCATCCCCATTAAAAACCAAAGTCATTACTGTGATCTGCCAGGCCCCTGAAATCTAACCTGATTGGGCTGCCTCTCTCGTCTGGCTGCCTGCCACTCACTGCGCTCCAGCCACACCGGCTCCTCTGCTCTTCCTGGAACATGCCACTTTCCCACCTCGGGGCTCTTGCCCTTGCTCTTCCTGCTGTCTGGAACACTCTCCCTAGAAATCCTCATGGTTAGCTTCCTTGTTTCCTTCAGATCTCTACTCAATTATCACCTTAGTGAGGCCTTCTCTGACTATCTAATTTAAAATTACCGTCAGCCCCTGGATTCCAGATCCCCCATTCCTACTGTGTCTAACATTTGTATCTTACTTAGGTTTTTGATTAATGTCTGACACCCCCCCCCCCCAAATCAGCTTCATGAGGGCAGGGGTTTTTGTTATATTTTACTCAGTAAAACATCTCTAGGCCTTAAATAATGTCTGGCACATAGAAGATACCCATGTTATTATTGAATGAATAGCAGTCTTGTGAAATTTCATCTTTTTTCATTTCAGCCCCACTTCCAACCTCCAGGGGCTATTTTGGATTTTGATTCTGACATCTATAGTTTTAGCTTTCCCCTTCCCCAGATGATTGCAGGTTGCCATCCTTTTTCTTACATATTCTTAAAATGCTGAGCATATCAGAGCCCTGTAGTCCTCAAATCAGACATGTCTGATCTCTTGGATACACAGAGAGATGGGCTCAAAAATGTTTTGTTTTGTTTTGTTTTGTTTTGTTTGATAGGCTGGCATTTTTGTTTATTTACTTATTTCTTTATTTATTTTTACATTTTTATTGAGTAATAGTTATTTTACAATGTTGTGTCAAATTCTAGTGTAGAGCACAATTTTTCAGTCATATATGAACATATATATATTCATTGTCACATTTTTTTCACTACTCTACCACAAGATCTTGTATATTTTCCCCTGTGCTATACAATATAATCTTGTTTATCTATTTTGCATTTTAAAATCCCAGTCTATCCCTTCCCACCCCCTGCCCCCTTGGCAACCACAAGTTTGTATTCTATGTCTATGAGTCTGTTTCTGTTTTGTATTTATGTTTTGTTTTGTTTTTTGTTTT